TTTATTAAATATTAAACACAACGACAAAACAACAAACAAAACGAAACGTGAAGTCCAAGGCAGCGCAGCGCAGTACAACATACCTTAACTGGAACAAGATCCCACAACCCACTAGTGCCAATAGGCTGCCTAAGTATGGTCCCCAATCAGAGACAACGAGCTACAGCTGCCTCTGATTGGGAACCACACCGGCCATCATAGATCTACACATAATAGAACACCAACATAGAAATACACAACATAGAACATACACACCCTGACGCAACATTTAAGCGTCCCCTGAGTCAGGGCGTGACAGTACCCCCCCCCCCAAAGGTGCGGATTCCGACCGCGCAACATAAACATAACAGGGTAGGGGCCGGGTGGGCATTCCGCCTCGGAGGCGGATCCGGCTCTGGGCGTGATGACCTCTTACTCTCCGCCTCCCTGTTGCGCCCCTGGTCTGGTCTGGACCTCGGAGCGCTGCTTCCCCTCTCCTTCCTCCCACAAAGTACCAAGCCCTGTCTGGACCCTGGTGTGGGAGACCCCGAACCTGGAGAGGGGCTGACGTCTGGGTCTGGACTGGAACCGCTGACTGGAGCTGGACCGGGCACCGGTGGAGCGGACTGCTCAGGCTCCGGACTGGAGCCGCTGACCGGATCTGGACTGGACCCTGGTGGAGCGGACTGCTCTGGCTCCGGAGTGGAGCCGCTGACCGGAGCTGGATCAGGCACCGGTGGAGCGGACTGCTCTGGCTCCGGACTGGAGCTGCTGACTGGTGCCGGACCAGGCACCGGTGGAACGGGCATGGGCCGTGCCGAACTGGACACACTCACCACTGGTCTGGTGCGAGGAGCAGGCACGGGCCGAACCGGACTAGGAACATGCACCACTGGCTTGGTGCGAGGAGCAGAAACAGGCCGGGCCGGACTGGCGACACGCATCACTGGCTTGGTGCGAGAAGCAGGAACAGGCCAGGCCGGGCTGGCGACGCGCACCACTGGCTTGGTGCGAGGGGCAGGAACAGGCCGGGCCGGGCTGGCGACACGCACCACTGGCTTGGTGCGAGGGGCAGGAACAGGCCGGGCCGGGCTGGCGACGCGCACCACTGCCTTGGTGCGAGGGGCAGGAACAGGCCGGGCCGGGCTGGCGAAGCGCACCACTGGCTCGGTGCGAGGGGCAGGAACAGGCCGGACCGGGCTGGCGACGCGCACCACTGGCTTGGTGCGAGGGGCAGGAACAGGCCGGGCCGGGCTGGCGACACGCACCACTGACTTGGTGCGAGGGGCAGGAACAGGCCGGGCCGGGCTGGCGACGCGCACCACTGGCTTGGTGCGAGAAGCGGGACTGGGTTCCTTTATTAACCCCTGCTCCTTCTGCTGCCTAACCAGCTCCTCTCGCCGTGCCTCTACACCTTCCTTCTGCTCCCTCTGAACCAATGGCCCCCGTAATCTGGTGGCCTCCTCTCCTAACCAGCAGATCCGCCCTGTCACGGCCTCCTGCTGCCTCGTCGTCCACACCGTGTGCCCCCCCAAAAAATGTTTTTGGGATTGCCTCTCCACCCTGATCAGGGCCTCCATCTTTCTTGCCAGATCCTCTCTCATCTCATGCCAAGTCCATCCTCTCTGCTCCTCCTCGGCACACTGCTTGGTCCAGGTCTGGTGGGATCTTCTGTCACGTTCGTTCATCGACAGGTCAGACCAAGGTGCAGCGTGATATGCGTACATGTTTATTAAATATTAAACACAGCAAACAAAACGAAACGTGAAGTCCAAGGCAGCGCAGCACAACATACCTTAACTGGAACAAGATCCCACAACCCACTAGTGCCAATAGGCTGCCTAAGTATGGTCCCCAATCAGAGACAACGAGCTACAGCTGCCTCTGATTGGGAACCACACCGGCCAACATAGATCTACACATAATAGAACACCAACATAGAAATACACAACATAGAACATACACACCCTGACTCAACATATACGAGTCCCCTGAGTCAGGGCGTGACAAGGGAAAATGTAAAGGGAAAAGTAAGTGAAAAAATATAATTTCACATGATATCAATAATGATGCTGTCAACGTCTGGGTGAAGTGGTGAAACGGAATCAGGCGCAGGACACAGAACTGAGAAAATGAATGGATTTACTAAACAAAAGTAAACCATAACAAACCTTCCACGCAGGGAAGAGCAGAACAACAGCTCACCAAACGACGTAAAACAACGGACAATCACGCACAAACCCAGGAGGGAAAACAGAGGTAATTATAGGGACACAAATAAGCATAATGGGTAACAGGTGTGATTTAATAAAGACAAGACTAGTGTAACACAGAAACATCGATCGGTGGCAGCTAGTACTCCGGTGATGACGAACGCCGAAGCCTGCCCGAGCAAGGAGGAGGGGCAGCCTCGGCTGTATTCGTGACAGATGCTATTAGATTGGATTTGTGGGGGGGGGGGGGGGGGGGGGGGGGGGGGGGGGGGGGGGCATCAGCTATGTCACGGAGGAGATATGACTGAATATGTTGAATAGAGGATTATAAGAAAACAAGAGGATTAACAGAAAACAAAACCAACAAAGAAAATGGTTGACTGCTGGCTTCTGCCTTCGCTTTTAGTCTTACTTACTGCCAGTGTCACTCCTACAACTGCCCGTGCCTTCACTTCCTGTTGTCTTCCAGTTCCCGTATGACTCCTCTGATTGCTTGGCAGAAGTGAAACTCCAAACCAAATCAGGAAACACACAAATCTATCCCTGGCACCGCTCGGAAACAGTTAAAGGTGGGAAGCACGTCAGTAGAGTTGATTGCATAACAATAGTGATGTAATCTATGTTTGTCAGGGGGTCAGTAATGAGACTATAATTTATTGCTGTCTCTAAGAGGCGACTGCTGACAGAAGCTGAAGGAAAAATATGTTGTTCTGCTTATCCAGAGCTGATCAAGAAATAATGTATTTGAAGACTTGAAAGGCTTTGCAAATATTCTATTTGTCTCTAATGACACCCTATTTCCCATGTAATGCACTACTTTTGGCCGGATTATTATATGCATCTCAACTGACACCCTAATGACAACCAAATTGCGCAAATGGGTCTCAAATGAGTTTTTACCATTTAGTGAGATTGAAAATACCACAACATAACAGATGTGCTTTAGTGTTACGCATTACTACGGTGATTTTTAGACACGTGATGGGTAGCTATGCCATCGTAAATGTGACTGTACTAAGCGGTGGGCTGAATAGTTATTTTAACTAAGGGACAAAACCATAACAACATGTACATTCGTGAAAATAATAGATGACGCGTGGTAGTAGGCTCCCATTAGCTGTATGACTCGGGTAGTAGGTAATTGCTGTATGCCCGGGGTAGAGGCTATATTAGCTGATGACTACGGTAGTAGGCTACATTAGTGTATGACTGGGGTGGGTAGTAGGTACATTAGCTGTAGACTCGGGTAGTAGGCTATATTAGCTTTTTATGACTAGGTAGTGGGGCTAATTAGCTAATGACTGGGTTTAGTAGGTAAATTGCTGTATGACTCGGTAGTAGGTACCTTAGCTGTATGACTCGGTAGTAGTAGTAGGCATATTGGGCTGTATGAAGGTAGTAGGCTACATTAGCTGTATGACTCGGTAGTAGGTACATTAGCTGTATAAACTCGGTGTGGGGCATATTACTGTATGATAGGTAGTAGGCTAATTAGCTGTATGACTCGGTAGTAGGCTACTTTAGCTGTATGACTCGGTTAGTAGGTACATTAGCTGTTGACTCGGTAGTAGGCTATATTAGCTGTATAAACTAGGTAGTAGGCTACATAGCTGTATGAATCTAGTAGTAGGCTACATTAGCTGTATGACTCGGTAGTAGGCTAATTAGCTGTAGACTCGGTAGTAGGCTACATTAGCTGTATGACTAGGTAGTAGGCTACATAGCTGTATAGGAGTAGGCTATATAGCTGTAGGGACTCGGGGGTAGGTACATTAGCTGTATGACTAGGGTAGTGGGCCCTACATTAGCGTATGACTAGGTAGTAGGCTACATTAGCTGTATAAATCGGTTAGTAGGGTACATTAGCTGTATGACTAGGTAGTAGGCTACATTAGCTGTATGACTCGGTAGGAGGCGACATTAGCGGGATAAACTAGGTAGTAGGCTACATTAGCTGTATGACTAGGTAGTAGGCTAACATTAGCTTATGACTCGGTAGTAGGCTACATTAGCTGTATGACTAGGTAGTAGGCTACTTTAGCTGTATGACCGGTAGTGGGCTACATTAGCTGTATGACTGGTGAGG